GACGAGGCGCAACTCAACACCGTCCAGAATTTGTACGATAGCACGGGACAGTCATTCAACGCGGTCGTCTCGACAGACGGAGACAGCGATCGCCCGCTCCTCCTCGCCCCGGAAGGCAACAGACTCCGCTTCTTCGGCGGCGACCTGCTAGGCATGATCGTCGCAGACTTCCTCCAAGCCGACTCCGTCGTGGTCCCAATCAGCACCAACGACGCCATCGACCGCGGCTCTCTGGCTGGCGTTCTCGAGCCGAAAACAAAGATCGGCAGTCCGTACGTGATCGCCGGGATGCAGAGCGCCGCGGGGAAAGGCCGCCAGAGCGTCTGCGGATGGGAAGCCAACGGCGGCTTTCTGACAGGCTCTGATATCGAGCGCGACGGCAAGGTGCTCCCTGCGCTCCCGACGCGGGACGCGGTTCTCCCTCTCCTCTGTGCCCTGTTTGCAGCGCAAAGCCGGCAAATTTCCCTGCCTGCGCTCTTCACTACCTTGCCCAAACGATTCAGCCGTGCTGCGTTGATCCGGAACTTCCCTCGTGCCACGAGCATGAAGATCATTGACCGCTTCTCGCTCCGTGAGGGTGGTGCGCAGAACGCGGAAGAGCAGTCCCGTCGGATCCGTCAAGAGCTGGAAGGGATCTTCTCTGCCCGGCATGGGTTTTCCTCGATCTCTCGTATAGACTACACGGATGGGGTTCGGATCATTTTCCAGAATGGAGATGTCGCTCATTTCCGTCCTTCGGGGAATGCGGATGAGCTTCGAATTTATGCTGTGGCGGACACGCAGGAGCGTGCGGACCAGATCGCGGCGGAGGGGGTGGCTGAGCCGGAGGGTCTTCTGCGGAAGCTGGAGCGTTTGGTTCAGGGTTAGTAGCGGCATCTCCTCGTTGCGTTGTTGTTACTTGCAATATAGTAAATACAACTAGACAAATATGGCAGATTTCATCCGGACGGATTGTACGTCGTAAATGACAACTCCTGGAGAGTAAAAAAAGCGTGTGCTCTGCTTGAGATGTAGCTCATCCTGAATAGGAACTTTTCCACCACTGAAACCCCTACAATTTTAGAAACACACACATTCGCACACAGTTATTGGGGATGGAAATGCATTACTGTTGATGAGCCTGATGGCTACAGTTCGCTGGACTCAGAGAAATCTCATATATGACCTTATAGTTTATACGGATGGACAAGGTAGATTGATAAGAAGACCATAAACCAAAAGGTGAGATAGTGTTAGAGGTCTCAATTGGAGAAGCTAACAATGTCCTCCAGGCACGAAGGTCAGGTACCCTACAGCGGCAAAATAGCCAGCGCTCCATAGACTGAGGCTAATTACAATTGCCAGAAGGAGCCGAGACAGGCATGCACGTCTTCCCATGCCAAGACTAAATCTACGGCATTATCACTCAATATGACAGTCCTTATCAAGCGGAGTTATTACTCCGCTAGCAAGCCTCAGACCAAATATATATACCGACCCCGACACCATGGAAGGAACAGCACGAGACACCATAGAATCCAGCCATTCGACCGCAGCACACCATGTCGCCGAGCCCTCCATCCTCCTATTCGAGCACAGCCGCAAGGCCTCCACCTCGGTTCATCGAGCTCCGTCCAAAGGGAGGTTAGTAATTTGACTCAACAAGGATCGGACAATGCCGACCTTTTGGGCTTGGCAGTTCCTGGAGAATGGACTGACCCATATTTTACAGAGGGAGTGTTGATCACGTTCCCCGAGGGTGCATCGGGCCAGGTCGATTCCAGACGCAAACGACACGCTATCTCGCAGAAGAACCAGCGAGACCGGTTAAAGGCGGCACTAGAGCAGATGGCTCGGGTGCTACACGCTGGTGGCGTTGGTTCTGGCCCCAGGGGGTTGTCTGGGACGAAGGTAAGGGTGCTTTGGTCTCCTGCAGGTTGTTGTTTTTCATGGGGTTGCTGTCTGGTGGATGCTGACTGTGCTGAATTTACTTGCAGGTTGAACTGATTGAAACTGCGGTGGAATATATTCAGAGTCTTGAGAAGGAGGTAAAGACGCTGAGGAGCTTAGTGAAAGAGGTGCCTCGGTCTGATCAGAGGGGTGAATGCTCCGACTGAACAGTCCTTCTTCGTTTAATGGAGTCTCATGAAATGAATGGTTTGTGGCGCTGGTAAATTAAATCTCCAAGGTCCAACTTCCAAGACATTTTTAGAGAAAGGCAGATGCATATGGTCGTATCGCTGCGCCATGTGGCCAGTCAACCCACGTAGGATACGAATGGGCTGCTGCGTCCCCAAGTGGCCTGTCGCCCGGCAGTATCGCCATAAACATCTAGCACTGGAAGTGCCGAGCAGCCAAGACTCTTGGAATAGATTGGATGGAACCCAGAGTAAGCTGGATCGCAGACCACGTTCCATCAGGTGGATCTGTGATTGGCCATACAAGCTTTCGGACTGGGGGCTGGAGGAGGTCTTGGCAGATGGCCGCCAAGAGTCAGAAGAAGCAGAGGGCCACAGAGAGAGCCTATCAACTGACAGTCGTCTCATGGCTGACGAGATAACGAGGCAGATTCCTGCGAGATGCAGGTTAATTCGAAAAATTTAGCGACAGGATCTGGACTGCATTGGGTCTAGTTCGCTCGCCTCTCAGGCGTTTTATGGTTTTCTGGAAAGGCTGCTGATCATGTCGAGGGCTGTGGTGTGCTTACTATATAAGCACCATGCACGCTCCAGTATTAGGGATAGGGACGAGATTACCTGCAAGTTGTAAGGACAAGATATAGGATATCTATCCTTGCACCGACAAGATGACCCTCCATCAGTTCGATTACCTGTTTGCCCTTGGCACTATCTTTGCCTTCCTCGATGCCTGGAACATCGGCGCCAACGATGTCGCCAACTCCTGGGCGACCTCGGTGTCGTCTCGCTCGCTGAAGTACTGGCAGGCCATGGTCCTCGCCTCTATCATGGAATTTAGTGGAAGGTATGTTTGTTCCAGTTCCGATAGGATGAGCCCATTCGGAGGATACTAACCCCTCCGCCACAGTATGGGTGTAGGTGCTCGTGTCGCAGATACCATCAGAACCAAGATCGTCGACGTCAAGGCCTTTGAGAAGAACCCTGCCCTGCTGATGCTGGGTATGGTCTGTGCTGTCACGTCTTCCTCCATCTACCTCACCATCGCCACCCGTTTCGGTATGCCGGTGTCGACAACTCACTCGATCATGGGTGGTGTGATCGGTATGGGCATTGCCGCTCTGGGATCCGATGGCGTCAAGTGGTGGGGAGGAGACATCAACTCTGGTGTCGTCCAGGTCTTCCTTGCCTGGATCATCGCGCCTCTTCTGTCCGGTGTCTTTGGTGCCATCATCTTCCTCTTGACCAAGTATGGAGTCATGGAGCGTAAGAACTCGGTTGTGAAGGCTTTTATCTCCATTCCCATTTACTTTGGCATCACCTCTGCTTTGCTCACCAGTACGTCACCCGGCCTTAGCAAGATGCTTGACGATGCTGACTGGCACAGTGCTTATCGTGTGGAAGGGTGGTTCCGCCAGGATCACGCTCACCGATTCGGAAACTACCGGTGTGATCATCGGTGTGGGTGCTGCCGTCGCGCTGGTTGTCACCGTCTTCTTTCTCCCTTGGCTGCACAGGAGGTTGATCAAGGAGGACTGGCAGCTGAAGTGGTACCATCTCTTCATGGGTCCTCTTGTGCTGCGTCGTGGCGAAGTGCCCCCTGCACCCGAGGGCTACAAGACCGTGCAGGACTACTACAGGGGCCACAAGACCCTAGAGGAGCTGCAGCGCGAACGTGCTAACATTGAAAGAGCCGGACCTTCTGATGAGGAGAGCGAACCTGCCGTGCGCGAGGGAGACAAGGAAGGTCATGTTGTTGCTGCTTCTGCCGAGGTCGAAGAGCCCAAGTTTACCCTCATCGGGCCCCGCCCCGAGGGAGGAGCCTTGAGTCCGGCCGTCCTCTTCTGGCAGTTCCGTCGATTCTTCTTCCGCGGTATCGAGCAAGATGTCGTCAGTCTGCAAAAGAAGCGAAACCTTCTCAGTGGTGACTTGGAGATGGTCCATGCCCATGCGCAGCATTACGACAACAAGGCCGAATACATGTACTCCTTCCTCCAGGTCATGACTGCTGCTACTGCTTCTTTCACTCACGGTGCCAACGATGTCTCCAAGTATGTATCTTCCCGGCTTCCTCGTGTTGAACGTCTGCTGACAGATTGATCCAGTGCCGTTGGTCCTTATGCCACCATTTACTATGTCTGGTCGACCAACCAGCTCAAGTCCAAGAGCCCTGTTCCGTACTGGATCTTGTGAGTATCCACCTTTCAAATCCCTAGTAATATCTCTAATCAATCGTAGGGCTTTCGGAGGTGCCGCCATCGTCATCGGTCTGTGGACCTACGGCTACAACATCATGCGCAACCTGGGTAACAGAATCACCCTGCACTCCCCATCCCGCGGTTTCTCCATGGAGCTGGGCTCTGCCATTACCGTCATCATGGCCACCAGACTGAGTATGTCATATCCTAGGGCTACTGCTTTAGCGATCATAGTTGTGCTAACAGTTTACAGAGCTCCCCGTCTCCACTACCCAATGTATCTCTGGTGCCACAGTTGGTGTGGGCCTATGCAATGGCACTTGGAGAACCATCAACTGGCGCATGATTGCATGGATCTACTTTGGCTGGGTTATTACCCTCCCTGTCGCTGGAATTATTTCCGGCTGTCTCATGGGCATCATCATCAATGCCCCTCGCTGGGGATTGACCTACTAAACTGTTCAGAAAGAAAGCTAGATTGGGGGAAAGGTGATGAGATTGACAATACCACTCAACGGCATTTACGCTTTATTTAATGATAATAGTGACTTTAGTCAAGTGATACCTATGAAGTGACATAAAATTGAATTCTAATATATGTTGTCTACCACGCAGTCTACCAACTTTGCATACCGCCTCCTTGTCTATGTATATCAGTAAACAAGCGATCGAAATCAATACCCGAATCTCACTCTGTCCACCCATCCCCAGCCCCCAGCATCCAATTCACCCCGACCAACTCCAACCCATGCCTCTCAACCCACTCCGCAACCTTAAACGACCGCCTCGCAGTAAACTCCTCCCCACCAACATCCTCCTTCGTCAGCGCGAAACCCTTCGGCTCTCGGAATAGCAGGAACAGATACCGGTGCGGGCGCGATCTGCACCATTAGCTTTGTCCGTTTCATCTAAATCCACAAGAATACAAATACTAACTCATCTTTCGGCCCGGGTCCCAGATACTCTGTCAATGCGGTGCCTCCGTCCGCCTGTTCGGCCTTCAATCCCGAGACGACCCAGTGTCTCCAAAAGGCGAATTTGGGGTCGTCGGGTGTGGGGGCGTCGGCGTCAACTAGGAGGAGGGTATAGCTTGTTGAAGATGGTGAGTTGTTCTCCTGTTATGCCGGAGTTAGATTGCTTCGGTGCTGTTGGCGGAGTACATCTACCACTTTGGAAAAAGATACGCTTGGAGCTGTCTTGCATTCGCTGGCGCGGAAGAGATTCCCCAACGAGACGGATTTATTGTTGAAGGAGACATGCAGCCGGGTGGTGGGTTTGAAGTCTGGGGGTAGGAAGGGGAGTAAGCCGGGGGTCAGGCTGGCTTGGGCGAGTGGGATTCGAGGGACATTTTGCTCGACAATGGGTGTTGCGCTTGAGGACATGATGGTGAATGGCAGAGTTACAATGATATATAGTCATGTCGTATGCTTGTGGATTAGAGATGAGGTTGTGACTGGCGGAAAATTAGAGGATGCGCCATCTTAGGCAATTTTGGTGATACATGGGGTGTGCGGGGTATCTACAGAGTACTCTAGTATGCTTCATTTACTGTTTATTTAGATTCTTCATAAGCAGACCTTAGTATTGTATGAATGTATGATAGTATGCCATATGTTTTGAAGCTTGTATGAAACTATGCATAATTTACATAGTTTTAGACTCTAAGCCACGTCAACACAACCTTTTGCATAGGATCCTTGGTAGAGCTCCATCTCCAGTCCTACTCCTACACATTCACATAGAACATACATAGCTGGCCAGATAAAGATATAGATTGATATTGGGGCAAATATATTCCAACAACTAAAGAACAACACCGCCACAAGCATCATTGTTACCTTTGTGCTATGTCAGATATGACGTCATTTGTGTACTGCGCCAACATATAACTTCCTCATCTCCTATTTCAAGACACTCCACCAACTACCAGTGAAACATACCTTCTCCGTCTATTACTTTGAAACCTTCTTATTATCGACTTTACTACAAGAATACAAATCAAATCAACCACCCAAATCACCATGCCAAACAACAACTTCTCCTCCTCCTCCCAAGACACAGGCGTCACTGGCGCCGCGAAATTCGTCACCTCCACCCTCGGAAATACTGTCGGCGGAGTCTCTCGCACTGTTGGTGGAGTGACTGGTGCAGCCACCCGAGGAATCGGCGACACCATCACGAGTGCAACGGGAAGTGCAGGAAAGCCCGTTGGGGATGCGTTGGGCAGTGTCGGGACGGGCGTTGAAGATGGGGCGAACCGAGTTGCAAAGGGAGTCGAAGATGCTGGACAATGGCGGTAAATAAGGTACGAGATACTATAGACACATCTGGGTGACGATAGGCTGAATATCTAACTTATGTTGTGGCAAATTGTGGGTGTATTAGGCTTAGATGTGTTTTGCTCTTCCAAGTGGTGCTCATAGTTCCTGAATGTAATGATCGTTCTTACGGTTTGTTCTTTTATCATTTGGTTAGTGTACTGTAGCTACTATTCCATACTTTTATTGCGATAATCTTATTCTAGTTGGTTGCTCTGGTACATCTGGATTTGTTGTCTTCGTAAGCTAAAGGATGGAACAATTGGGCGTCAGGCCATTTAAGGGTGTAAAAATCAATATCTCATTCAGGGTGTCCTGAATTATAAAACACCTAAATAACACCAAAGATAAGGCCTATTTGATACCTCCAAAAGAGCTTATCAGATCATAATTCATTGTTCCTGTGGATCCGCTGATTGTAGGTATATCTAGCCAGACCAATCAAAGTATAGCAGCAACAGGCCAGCCAATCATCTGAGACATTCCAACCGGCTTTACCATTCTCCGGACTGGGTGCAAGGGGATCCAGATTGATAACTTGGCGGCTCCCCACAGGGAAAATCAATCCATCTTCCTCATCGTTGCGACGCGTAAGACTCACCCAGCCATGGGTTGGCCTTATCATATAGTCAAACTCAGCCCAGAGGCAAAATCGCAGCGTCGAGAGCTTCTCGATCGATACGGGTTGTACTCTCAACTATCGGTCCTCATACCGATTTTGTTCTTTTGGCTGTATCGGTTAGGGCATTGGGTCTATCTCCGCTCAACTCGGAGAGACGGATACAGTGCAGTTACTCGTCCAGCAGACTCGACGACTTCTAGTCCTGCGAATTTTGTGAGGCGATGGCGGTCGATCCTTTGGTGGGTCGAAGATGAAGTCGCTCCCGGCTGGGGGCCGAGGGAGCATTGGATTTTTGGCGCAGCATGGGCGTTGTGGTTGCTAACTTTGTGCATTTATCAGACGGGAACTGGTGAGTGTATTTTTATCAACTTTCACCCATGCTTCTACAATAATCTAATACCGTCCAGACTACCTTCATGTAACAAAACGCTTTGGCATAGTAGCTGTGGCGCAACTACCCACACATTTTGTCCTTGCAGTCAAATCTCGATACAATCCTTTAGCACTGGTTTTCAACACATCATACGAGAGACTGCTACCATGGCACCGAATATCCGGCAGACTGATATTCCTTCTGATCGTCGTCCATGTGACATTGTACCTGAACTACTTTATCCAAACGGCAACGCTGCAAGAGCACCTCACCTCGCTCAAGATCATCATTGGCATCATATCATTCATGTCACTTTTCGCCATGATGAGCACCAGCATTGGGGCCGTCCGTTGTCGCAACTATCGGATATTCTACATCACGCACTCGGTGCTTGCATCCCTCCTCCTGATCTTTCTCACCTTTCACGCAAAGTCTCTGCGCTGGTACATCATTGAGACACTGGCTGTTAGCCTTCTAGCCCTACTCAGCCGTCTAGATACCATCACCGCGTATGCGACCATCTCCCGTATCCCCCGAACGAACCTCATCAGCGTGCAAATTCCTATTCCCGCATCAAAAGTACAAAGATTCCGAACAGCGCCAGGCCAACACGTCTTCTTATCCTTACACGCAGAGACAGCGATGAAGATCAAATCATCGCTCATACAGAACATGTTCCTCCGAAATCCATTTACTGTCGCGAATGTCTCGGAGAACAATGAGATCACCCTCGTTGCGCGGGTACAAGATGGTCCGACGTCCAGAGCCTTGGATGCGCTGGTGGATTCGGCGGAGAAGCCAAGTCTGGTCGAACTCTACGGACCTTTTGGGAGTATTCCACACTTCGCAGAGCTAGGAAGGGAGTGTGATCGAATTCTTGTTGTGGCGGGTGGAGTTGGCGCGACGTTTGCTTTGCCGGTCTACCGTGAACTGAAGGAGCAAGTTGAAGCGGAGGGCAAGGGTCAAGATAGGATTACATTTGTGTGGTCCATGAAGACGCTGGAAGAAGCTGCGTGGGTGGTGGGATTGGCGAATGGGCAGACCTTAACCCAAGATGAGAACGTCAAAGTATATCTGACTCAGTCCTATCATATGCGCAGACAAAAGCCTTCCCCGGATGAGAGTGTCGAGTTAGAGGAGTTACAAGCGCAGAGAAAAGTCGTATGGTCATCCGCGGAAACTGGACGGCCTGACCTAGGCAACATCGTGGACGATGTTCTCGGCGAGTCTGATGAGCGCGTAGCTGTGCTCTTCTGCGGACCACCAGGAATGGGAAGGGTATTACGGGAAAAGATTGGCAGGTATGTACGGAAAGGAAGAGATGTTTGGTGGCATGCCGAAGCCTTTGGCTGGTGATGGGATAACCCAATAGTCTATTGCGACGAAAGGATATTATGCCATGTCAGCAAAATCTTCATTCTGGCCTTTCATGATTAGGCAACGAAACAGGTTAGCAGTACTCATACTGTGATTAGACATTGTACATTTCCCTCTGGGTACGCATCCACTCTATCGCATCCTCCTTCGTAGCATTTTCATGAGCAAATTGCCATGTCAAAAGATCATCTAGGGCTTGCCGCATGAACGGACCTCCCTTTTCGAGACCGTACAAGGCCAAAATATCATGGCCGTTGAGAATAGGCTTTACATATGGGGCGTCCTCCAGCTTCGCCTCAGAGATATATTCCACAAACCTCGACCATTGCTTAATCTGGGCCAGCTTTTCACTACCATACCTCATTTGATCGACGTCAGCTTCCAGAAGCGCGAACAATACTTGTAATCTCCAAGTACTGCCGCAAGACCTAATCAATAGTCCGAGAGGACCTGTACGTAGCTTTCCGGGGAAAGACTCGTCTGTTGTAACCTCGCCCATGTAATGCTGGATGCGAGGACAATTTCTCACTGATTGAAAGACAAATCCAGGAACTTTTACTTTTCGCTCTGCAAGATCCTCGAGGTGACCGATACCCATCGACACAAAAGCAGTCAGCATCCAAATGTCATCCATTTTCTCGGGCTGGAGCAGAATATTCCTGAGTGTTTCTAGGCCCCCGCTTAACAGGAAAGCCACGGTTTCAAAGGCGCGAGCCCATCTATTGCGCCCTGGGCCATACCACTCCGAGTGCCAAAGAACCCAGCTTGGTTTCTCATCTTCAATACATGGCACCGCATCGAGAAAGACTGGATTGTAAAGACGGAGTTCATGGATCAATTGAAAAGCCGAAAGCGTGTTTTTGCCTCTGAGGATCTTTATGAGCTCCGATTCTACCCGCTGACGACTGGCCTTTATGCAGAGTTGCTGCCGCAGCTCGATAACTCGCATTGCGTCCATGGTCTCTCGTTCAATTCGGAAACCAAGCTGAGCTGCGATTCGGATCAATCGGAGGATTCGGAGGGGGTCATCAGCAAAGGCTTCGAAGGGGAAAGATGGCGTTCTGACGACACCAGCAGCCAGGTCATGCAGTCCAAGTCCCGTGTGATCTTCGACAATTCCTGTCTTGAGGTTGTAGAACAGAGCGTTGATTGTAGCATCGCGACGATGAGCATCCTCCTCCGGAGTTCCAAACTCCATTTGCGGGATCCTGCTCTCCTCGCTGTAGGTTTCCTTTCTGAGATTCACGAAATCTACCGAGAGGCCGAAAATACTGTGGAAACTTCCGGTCTCGAGGTGTTTGGATTTCTTCGAGTTCTTTTTGATCTCGTGCAGCTTTGAGATTACAGGAGGAACTCCGAGGCGCCTTGCCTCGTCAAGGTATTTATGCTTTTCTTTCTCGAGATAATTCTCAAGCGCGTGGCCGAACTGGATGCCAGTCATGGAGCTGAGTGCCACGTCGATATCTGAGGATTGACGATCGAGAAGTCTGTCTCGAACCCATCCGCCGACGAACCACATGTCCAGATTCGTCACGTCATTGTTGCTGGAGACGATGCTGTCGCGACAGGCTAAGAGTAGCTGTCGCAGAAGCTCTTCTGCGGGCGACAGATGGAGAACTGGTGCTTGTCCTGCCGTCTGTAGACGGCTGTTCACTGTGTTGGTTGTGAATTCCTTTATTTGCGTCATTTCGGGTACTTTATTCTAGGCAGTGCTGGTTGTGAAACGGATACGGGCTTTGAGGGCCTTGAAAGAACGCAAGAATTCTGAAGATTTGCAAGGAAGACTTGAGATGAGGTTAGCTACAATGGTAGAGGAAGAAATTTTGTAGTGTCGGCATCACATCGTCGTCATCCATGCCTGAGGCTCCATATGACCTTACCTTTATGACCTCAATTTCTCCAGCCATACTACCATCATTTCCCTTAACATTTCCTTTCGATATTTGGTTAAAGCCACCGAATATCTCGCTGGGAAATTTGCCCCATTGCATGGAGTTAACATACATGTGTCCAGGGTCAACAGCTAGTACCTGGTAATCCGTATGAGAACGTAAACATTAGAGGAAGTGTAGGAAAGCGATGACAGTGTGAATGAATCCCAAGGCAAATGGGATTCCAGCAAGGGTAGGCATCACGATTATAGTTACTCCAATCATAGGGAACGAATCCTTAGTCAGAACGATCTGATACTCTACGGCTGAGGCCTCAATAGTCTAACTGAATATGACACAAGGTCTCATTTTATCGTAAACAGCTATTCTCTGTGCTTATGCGGCGCATAATACCCATTCCCGATAGGGGAAATATAACCAAGGGGCCACTGGGATAGTGGCCGGTTCCGGGCCAGTCACACTTTATTAACAAAATCCCAGGGCTAACAGGCCTCGGTTGCGCCTGATTGCATGTGGCAGGTATAAATCAACAATAACCGCCGTGGTTGCCCGCAATAGCCACAAAATCTGCAGGAGTTATGGCCTCACCAGCCAGTCTCAGCCTCGCGCGCCCTTGGTCTCCTGTACTAGCGAACAGGGGTGAGAGACCAGAAAAAATAAAGACTCACACCCCACATCTCGGTCAACCCAACCTCGATTTTCTTCAACCATTAGCATTTTTTAATGACCGGCCATCATGGCAAATTCAACGTGACAATGTTATTTTCCTAACGGTAATCCATCGAGCGATGTCCCTTGCTCCTCCGACGAAGCAACTGGGTGTTGCACCTCCTGGGATATATGCCTATCAAACGGACTTTGTCTGGACGTTGCCCATCAACCCTACGTGGCGTCTCGAGGGAGCTGCACAGATAAACAATGGGGTGATGGGTGTCCACAGTACTGCAGTTGGCACACCTCCCATCAAGTACACGATGAAAGCAGTGCTGATCGAGATACCTCAAGAGGACGTCAATCGGGACGGAGGCTGCTCCATCATTAACCTCAGCTACGAAAACGGAATAGCGACATATTGCTGCGGCACTCCTATCACAAAAGGGACAGATGTCATCTGTCCAGAAGGAATGGATAACTTCCAGATCCCAACGGGGCACGCGCTAACCGGTGTGGCTCTCTTGAGCAATGTTTCCTCATCGTCAGCGACGGCGTCACCTTCTTTTACGGATACGGCGACACGAACCTGTCATGGCACTGCGATTGGAGCTGGTGTAGGAGTTCCCCTGGGCGTCATCGCATTGATGGCACTGGTGTGGGCGCTGTTCGAACGAAAAGCAAGACAAGCAATGCGGACACAAGCACCGCCAACTGCAGTAGCATCAGACAAAGGCGGCCCCTATGTGCGCAGTCATAATGGGTCGCCATCAGGCTACTGCATACACGCGACGCAGCTGAACTAATGGATAGAAATGGATAATGGAGCGTCAACGGCCAAGTTAATACCCTGACGGAATTACAATCGCAGTGCAGTTATGATATGTGGTGTGATGTACACAGATTTTTGATGCAAGATTGCAGAAGGTCAGGTCTTCAGAGCTCTATTTCAACGGCTCCATCTCATGATAGATATTATTAGTGATTAAGTCATGTTAAGCGCAGTGGATATGTACACGGCTAAGTACCCTAATTTATAGCTGACGCCTACATAGCAGACATCATGATCTTGATCATACATGTTGGAACAACTAATGGTTTAAAAATCTGTCGGACGGATCATTCTTAGAGAAACAAGAAGAGATGGGAATGAGACATGAATCTCAGGTACACAGGTACACACTCCTAACTCAACAGGCTCAATCCATCTCCTATAAAGTCACATCACAACACGCCAGTCCCACATTCCATACATCTAAAGAAAAGAAACCTTCTTATAGATAATCTGTACTATTAGGGAATTTCCACTGTATCATGGCATGTATGTGCTACACTATAAAATCACAGTGTCCTGGAACAATGCCTCACAAACTGAACAAAAGTGCCGTGCATTGAATATTGCCAAACTTGGATACACTGGTTCTATCTCATTAGCCTCAGATGGATCGAAGCAAACAAAGTATGCATTAGTCTGTCATCTGATTATGGCCATTGTCGTGCTCGACGGGATAGAGTGAGTGGGTAGCAACATTGTAGCTCGTAAGGCATCTCGGCCAGACTGTGTCAAACTGCTCGGAGGAAGACATCGTCGAGGGAAATATTGGACGAGAGTATTCAGCACAGGTTGTGATCTGTTTTTCTCTTTGATAATATTTCCCTATCCGTATCATCACTGACCAATGTGTATGAAGCAGGAGAGAAAGTATGATATATTGAAGAAGCTAAGTAAGTTTGCCTCAGGCTCACTACACGTATTTCCCCCTCGTTCCCCCCTTGTTCGTCTGACTCGTCCCTCATCAAAACATTTACATTCATCACTATCACAGAGTGTTGGCCTCATTCAGAGCGACAGCCCTTAGACATACGTAACAGTGACAGAGCTGCTCGAAGTAGAGACCGAAGTCAAAACCTGGTTGTTCTGCTTGATATCCATAAGAGTGGCACCAGAAGGACCAACAGTGGAACCGCCATCGGTAGCCTGAGCACCGCTGAAGGTGACGGTGCCAAAGTTGGCAAACGGCACCAGAGAATTGTTGGACTCAAAGTCCTCAACGATCCACTCGGCGTTGTACTCGCACAGGTTGCCGTCCTCACCACCATTGAAGGTGTGGGTGACCGACTTTCCCTTGGTCACGTTCTCAACAGTCGCCGTGCCAGCGGTCTTGCTGGTCGCATCGACGGTGACCTTGATCTTGTCGCCAGCGGAGATGGAGATGCCGCTGAAGTCGTAAGCATAGTCGGGGTACCACTCGTACCAGGCGCCGAAGGAGACAGAGCTGCCCTGGATGCAGAAGTCGACACCGGTTTGGAGGATGGCGGAGCTGCACGTGTCACCGTCGATACCGACCCAGGCGGAGGCGCAGTACTGCTCGCTGGAAGAGCCACCGCTGGGGACTTTGGGGGTAGGGACGGTGAACTCGCCGGTCACGGCCGTGTATCCTGAGCCGATGAGGACGGCACCGGCCCAGTTGGAGCTGTACTCGACCTGGGTGGTGTTGCTGAGCTTGATAACCTCGGAGGTGCCCGGCTTGTAGGGAGGGTGGCTCGATCTGTTGGAGGCGCGGGCCATACGACGGGCATGGCGAGCTTGACGCTGTGCTGTAAGGGGGGCAGCAATGGCAGCCGTGGCGAGCAAGCCAGAGGCGAGGACGGAAGTGAACTTCATGATGGTGACGCTGACTGGTCAGGAAGAGAGTATTGCTGTCGAGGATGAGCTTGAGGGCTGATGGTAGTCAAGAAACTGCGAGTCTTGCTTGAGCTGCTGGACATTTTGGACCGGGAATCCAGCTTCAATTTATACTTGAGCACCAGACCACGCATTCCTTATCTCTGTGTAAAAACGGCTCCTACGCAAGATGCCTTCTCGCTTGATACTCTCGAACTAAGCAATTAGGATCCAAGCGACTCCGCTCTATCATGAGGTGAGGAGAAGGACCGGAGACCGATGGAAAATAGCATCTGATGCATATCTAGTGATCAGATTGGGAATATTCTCCGTGAGAAGCGCACCTGCACTATCATTTCTCTGTCCTCACAAGTGAGTTGATGTGCAAATTAAGCAAGTCCAGCGGAGATCTTCTCGCCTCGCCATGAGAGAGCCCGACGAGACCAAGGGACTAGATGAGTCTGGCCCAAATGAGCTCGAAATGTCGCTTCTCTGAGGATCTTGATTGGTCTCTGTGTGAAGAACGTCTACCCCTCCTGAAATTCATCAGAGGATTGATAACAGCGGGCACGAGGGCATGCCGTTGGGAGCAGGTCATGTCTACCATTACTTGGCGATCATTGCCATAAGAGTCAAGCATTGCCAAGATCTTCAAGCAACAAAGTATACGCACGCCAATGAAACCAAGACTATGAATGAAGCCACTGTGTAGATACTTGCCGTGCCGGACTTTCATTGCCAGCCTATCGCGCAATCTTCAAAAGTTCTGCCAAATTCGCTTTTTCGCTAAATCAACGGACCTCCGACGGTGCTTGGGGTGCTCGGATACGATCAATATACTCAATGATAGTAGTAGCCAGGAAGGAAGGTCAAAAATGCACAGGGAAGTTGCAACTTACTGCAGAGTTAGCGGTTCCTCTAGTGTTCAAAGGGGTTAGAGAACGGAGGTTAGATGCTACTGTGGCGGAGACTAGCAAAGTTGGTGTCTGGATGGCGCGGTTACACCAAGCTTTGGTCAAGCATCTTGGTGAATGATAAGCATCGTGGGTGAGTTTGGCGAATATGGTCAAGAGACTAAGTAGATTAGGCTATTGTCCTCGGCAGATGGTCGATGTAACGTTCCGCTGAAAAGGGGGAGCACTCCATCAGTTTAGATTGATTTTGATATTAATTTCTGCAGAGACAATGCAAGTGACGGCGCCTGATGACCAAGTGGGGGTGTTCTTTCTTCACCCCGTCTTCTTATCAACGGCCATTGATGTCAGTTATTGAGCACCGACGCCCTGTCCGTGCTGTCTTCCTCCGGATATCCGGGACATTGCAGATTGTCGTAGAAACGTGAGGAATAAATCTTATCGTGCGTAGTTCCTTGCTACCAAGGACTGTCTGAGAAGTAGTTCACATTCTGCTCGGATATTTTGAGGATATGGCTTCAATCACTGAGGCAGTCTTTATCATCATTCAAGGCGTATATGCTCCCTGTTTAGATATTGTAAATTTGTTACTGTAAAGGTAAAAAGCATACCAGTTTGGTGGACAAGAGACAATATCCGTTGCTGGTATTGTGATTGGACAGTACAAAGTCGAACAAACAGTGAATCAATTCCTCTAGTACCTCTTGTCCCTTCCATAAATAATGTATCAGTTCTGGTACAAAATCATGCCGAAAATTAAGATTATTCCCCCTTTGTCTTAGGTTAGATCCAGTCCCCATTGTCATTGACTACATCTTTTCTTGCTTCGGAAACAATGACTTTGATAAAGTCGCCCAGGGCATTGGAAATAAGAAAATAATGTATAGAAGGCATTAATCAATGTATGAGAGATTAACAGGTCATGGCTCCATTTCCTTGTATGTTAATATTGTATGGCAAGCTATTGCTCTACAAGAAGTTCCTAATGTCAACCAATATCGGTACCGGCTAATGAATATAATGGTACGCTGTCTTCTGCTCATCCAACGGCAGGAACAACAAGGATCTTATTATCTTGATCTTACGGGCTTATCCCATTCAAGCTTTATCCCTTCAGAATAAGAACATACTGTGTAGTTTATTAGGCCATCAAGTCTATCTTAACAACCATCACATATTTGACAGCATCCAGTAAGCCTCAACCTGATAGCTATATATACATCACCCGGAGAATTATAGCACCCTTTGTCCCTATGGATGCAGCATGGACAGTCACTATACATGTCAAGCACATGATCCACAAACCTCGATGTCAAGATCGTCGTTAACCATGTCTCAGAAGACGAGATCTTGTCGATCTTGGGGCTTGAAACGGATGATCTGCACATCTGATGCAGATCGACGATCGGCAGGGTAACCTACTGACAACATCGCTTTTAGCGAGAAGGTATGTTGTTTGATGTTTTCACCGACGGCTTAGTCTCGTCCTGGAATAGTTGCCTGGGATGACATGTCTGGGTAGGCAGGGCTACACTTGCGATGGTGATCAATTAGCGGCTGACAGTCCGCTGATTTTGCTATTAGGACATCTCGAATCTATTGACTCTGCCATGCAGTGAGCGCTGGACGTGGGTGGACGACGCCAGTCTTAGGAGTCGTGTTAAGGCAGGATTACAAACGACGAGGGTTTTCAAAGCCAGTCATGTATCTTCATAATTCATGCGTATTAGCAGTAATTTCAAGGTAGTGTCTGTGTTTGGGCCAGATGAAGATTTTTGATATATAAACTACTGGGCGACTTCATTGGTTCCGGAATATATTGGAGGTTGAGAATGTTCAGCCGAGTCCAACAACAAAGGTTGAGCATATAATACATTAATGAGGTCTCTGAGTAGCTTACTGCTCAATAAGAGTGTGCGATACATGGATATAAAATGATACCTTATTATGAGTACCTCTCTACCTCTCCCCTAGGCAAAAAGTAGTGCAACACGTGATTAAAATCAACTTTTGAAAACATCAACTATTTACAAGACAAAATATCAACAAAACTAACTAATATAGAATGCCATATAATTTATATATGAAATCTAATCATCATAGTTATTACCTCCTTTTAATCTAATAACCTGTTTAATTTAATATGGCATCTTTGTAATCTGCTTCTGGATTGTCTCCTGCGGGACCTCCTCCCAACCTTTAAAGAAGTATTTCTCTAATTCTTCTT